GCCAGTTATTCTCCATCACATCGTCCATATCTTTAACGACTGTTTGGAAAAAGGCTACTTTCCAAACACATGGAAACAAGCTCTAATTATTCCAATTCCTAAAAAAATGAAACCCACTGAGTATAATGATCTCAGACCTCTCAGTTTATTACCAATTTTATCCAAAATTTTAGAAAAAATTATAAAGTTCCAATTGACCGCTTACCTAGAAAAATTCTTTATACTTCCCGACACTCAATCCGGTTTTAGAAAAAAATATAGTACAACATCTGCCCTACTTAATCTGCAAGACAATATTTTAAGTGCCTTAGATAAGAAAATGGCACTAGCCTTAATCTCTATAGACTATTCGAAAGCCTTTGACAGCATCAATCATAAATTATTACTTGCTAAATTAAATGACATAGGTCTTGACAGTGTATCCCTTTCATTTTTCGACAGTTACCTTCATCAAAGAACTCGGTGTGTTTTTCTCAATCAAGAAATATCTCAAGTGACAATAATTCCCTCAGGCGTACCTCAGGGCTCTGTATCGGGGCCGCTTCTGTTCCTCATATATACGTTCGACTTAAGCAAAAGTATTGATAATTCTCATGTCCAGTCATTTGCAGACGATACGCAATTGCTCCATTATTTTAACCCAGGATAATGTCAATAATACTACTCAAATTTTACAAAACGATGTTAATAAATTAATTAAATACTCTTTAGATCACAATCTACTTATTAATCCACAAAAATCTAAAATGTTATTATTTTGCGCACAAAGAAAAACATACAATGTAACACAGCTCTTGAACATTCAGATAAATAACCAAATTTTGCAGTTTTCTTGGTGCTGTTTTTGATACAAAATTAAGGTTTACTGAACATGTTAAAAGTCTATTTTAGAAAACCTACCTACGGCTGCGCACTCTTATAGCAAACAGGTATTTACTAAAGTTTAAGTTGCGTAAAAAACTATGTGAAGCATTGATCATATCTATACTAAATTATTGTAATACCGTATACTATACTTGTTTAGACAATTTCACTAAAAACGTTATTTAAGTTATTCAAAACAATTGCATACGATTCATTTTTGGCTTACGTAAATTTGATCATGTATCTGCGAAATATCCCGTTCTAAACTGGTTAAAAATTAATGACATGGTCAAGTATCACTATTCAGTTTTTGTTCACAAATTGCTGCTCACGTCTAAACCTTATTACTTAAAGGAAAAAATTTCATTTAATAATGATGTTCACTGTAGAACTCTCAGAGAAAATAATATTAGAATACCCCTGGATACGTCTTCACTTTTTAAACGCAGTTTTTCTTACAATGTTGCTATTATTTATAATGACCTTCCTAAAGCATATAAAGAATTTTCATTACCTGTCTTTCGACAAAAAGTTAAAACATTGTTACTCAACCCTCCATACATATAATTTACGTAATCATTCATTCATTTCTTTTTTATTCCATCTTTAATTCAGATTAATAATTTTTTGGTGCATTTGGGTTTGGAAAGTATGCCTTCTTCTCTTTTTTTGAAATTTTACTTTCGATGTAATGAACCAAAACTGTTTGTGGATAGTGTATTCTTTTGAACATCTGCTAGAGACTATATGGTTAAGTGTAAGAGTAGCAGCATGCTAAACTTCGCCATATAAGTCTGACATTTGGCTATACTACAACGTAATTGTGGATAAATAAAGACGTCTATTATTATTATTATATTCTGACGATGGAAATACGATCATGAATCATAGACTCATTTGATGAAAGGAAAGAGGCAAGACGAGTTGCTGAAGTCTATTAATAATGAGGAGCGGACGGTGGAATTTAAAAAAGGCTATTAACCATTTTGGCAAAAATACCCAAAAAATGTTCTGCGCTCTGGGAAATTGCGAGAAATTATTGTTACCGTTGAAGAAGATCGAATATCGGAGACCGGAAAGATTTGCCCTTATTCCTTACAAAACTGAAGCCAAATATTCATAATTTTCCGTCAACCCATTAACATTCTGCATAATAAAATTAGAGATAATCAACTTGACGTAATTTTTGTTTGCTGTGTAGAAAAGCTTCTGAGAGCTATCACAGGTACCTGGACTTTGAGCTCTGGCATGGAGTCTAGGAAGAAATAGACTTGACAGCTGAGTGATTCTACTGTTACTATTCTGCATACTTTGCTGATAATAAATACATGTATGCTCCATGATACCTAGAAAGCCATAAAAAAAATATACCACAGGAAACAGGGGAGTTATTCATAGACGTGTATAATTGTACATACGTGCTAATTTATTAATTTATTCCCTGTTGATACAATATTTGCAGAGTATAACAAGAGCTGCAACAGGATATTGCCAAACAACGTAATTTAGATACGACAGCTTGCTATATTATGAAACGCGTTATTTCACAGGTGTGTGATGAAAAAGGGGTTACAATAAAACTATACTATATAAGGTGTCCCAAGATGAAATGGTACCTTTATACACATATTTCTGGATACCAACAGGGTCTTTTTTGAGCGAACGATCAATACATGTTAGATGAACTTTGGTGTTTTAAATTGGGTCAACAATTGACTGACTCTGGATTCTACCTGGACTTGTCCAAAGCTTATGATTGCACTGACAGAGACATACTGTTATTAAAGCTATAAATTTTTAAAGGAGGTCAAACTTACAAGTCAAACATTGAGTTGACTTCAACCGGCATAGCACAGTCTGGTATACTTGGGCTCATTTTGTTTGTAGTTTTTTTAAACGATCTCGGTCTTGTTACTAGTGAAGAATTGTCTGCTATGCTGATGACACAAATTTAGTGCTGGGTGGGACAAGTGTAGAGGACCTAACTGGTGATGGGAATCTCTTAGTCAGAAGTGTGAATACATGGTTTTCTGAGAACAAACTAGTGCTGAATAAATCCAAAAATGATGGAACATTATTTAGAACTAAGCAGAGTAAAGTCGTTAAGCCACAATGTATCGATATAGATGATCATCAACTGCAGTTGAGTGAAAGTTTAAAATTCTTAGGCATCTAATATTGATGGATTTTTAGATTGGACAACACATGTACTCGAACTGCTGAAGAGGCTCAATTCCATTTGCTATGGTTTTAGGGTAATATCAAGATATCTAAATAATACGAGTATTAAAATATTGTACCATGTTAATTTTGAAAGTGTCCTAAAGTATGAGATTATTTTATGGGGGCGCAATAGGTCTATTAAAAAAAATTGTTGTTCAAAAAGAGCAGTACGTCTGCTAAAGGGACTAAATTTCAATGAAACTTGCAGGAGGGTGTTTAAAACTGAAAAAATCATGACTATGCATGCCATGTGTATGAGTGTCTTATATGTTTTTCAAAAATAAAAATTTATTTGAACTTGAGGTGCAAACTGCTTATGATACTCTAACAGTCAATGTTAATTAACCAATACATAGATTATCCTCCACAGAAAAAAGCCCTATTTACATGTGTTTAAGATTTTCCAACAATCTACCAAATGAAATTAAAAACATAAACAGTTTGCATAAATTTAAAAAGACTATTAAGCAAGTTCCAGTACAGTCAGAGCCTTATACAATAGATGAGTTCTATGCGAGTTGTAATAGTTTCAGATTGTAGCTCTTTTAAGATAAATAACCATGTAACACAAAAAAAGGCTATAGTTACGGTGATAGTGACGCAACATTTCATTTAGTAGTGGCTATACAATTTTTGTAATGTCATTGTACAATTTCAAATATGGATTATTATGATTATTATTATTATTATTACTATTATTATTAGTGTCATTGAATCTCATTCACAAATCATGCTGTTGAGCTAGAAAGAAGAATACTGGTCTACGGTTTTCGCGTACCCGGGCTTTTTTGACATCCGGGTATCGGGTATGCTTTTAAATATCCCAGTACCCGGGTTGTATCCAGTATTATGAATTGTAAACAAAACTGCATATTATCAATCAATTTGGTCCAATCAAATATACATAGAAAAATAGATTTCTCATCAAAATAAAAAAAAAACGATGGCATTGTCGTATTTCTTAGAAAAATGATTCATACGAACATTGGTGAAAAATAAACTCCTTTGTAACAAAACAACAGCATGAATTAACATGTAATAAGACTTATAAAAGTGATCATGATTGTTCATTTCAAAGGATAATTTCAAACAGTCTAGGAGTTCAATGAAAGTTATCCTTAATCAAGTTGTAAATATCTAAAATTTAACAAATAATGAAACAAGAGAATAGCAACTGATCACACTCTTATTTTCTTATTTCCAAGACTTTGAGCACGAATACACCAGAGACCTCCAGCATCTGCTCGAAAAAAAGTCTGATTCGGTTTCACTGCCCATCGAAAAGGACCTCTTAACAATTCTGCATGTTGCACAGGCACAAATTAGCTTCGAAAATTTTTATAGATGAATTTCAACAATTGCTGTTATGCGCACCGGACAAAATTTTTCCAGGTTTTTTTAATAAAATAAAATAAAATTTATCCTCATGAAGTTTTCTTTAAGGCGCTAGCAGTTTATTACGCTGAAAAATAAATTTTCTTAATTTTTATTAATACCCAGGTATTCGGATTTTTTGTCAAGTATTACCCGGGTCCGAAAACTCTTGGATACCCGGGTATACCCGACCCGGGTATCGTGATTCGAAAGCCCTACACCGGACAAACAAAAGGTCTGAAGCGCCTCGATGCCCGGAAAACAAACAAAAAAAGGTAAACACCTATGTACGTATGTTTATCCCACTTTAATAATTTTTTACATATATACGAGCCCCTTCCCACTTCAGTTGGCCCACTTCAAGATTTGTACCAAAATATGCCTTTATAAACTAAACATGACGAAACTATTTACTTCTAAAACAATTTATTTTCTCAAAAATAATTTAGATACACTCTAGTCGTAAAAAATACATATTTGAGATCACTTAGACCTATAACTAATAGAACAATTGAAAGATTACCATTGGGTCACATCACCATTATTTTTTATTACGGCTGAAATTCTTTTGGGATAGTGTTAACCAAGTTTTGGCAAAAATTTGGTGTAAAACAATCCCATATTTCTTGAAGCTTTTGTCTCACTTCGGTGACTGTACGAGCAGGATGTTGTCGTAGAACCTTTTGAATCTCGTGTCACAAAGTTTCAATAGGTGACAGATCTGGACTGCTAGAAACCCATTTCAAAAGTGGTAGATTGTTGTCTTCCATCCATTTTATAGCTTTTTTTCAGGTATGGCACGCTGCACCATCCTGCTGAAATACAAAATCTTGGCCGGATGTCAAACATTCCTCCATCACTGGTAAATGTTTGTTCGTATCCACATTTCCATCAATAAAATGAAGTTTTCCTACTCTTTTTGCTGACATACTGCCCCAGACCATAATGGATGCTGGAAATTTCACTTTTCTCTTCAGACAGTCTACATGAAATGCTTCATTTTTTTGCGAATAACTCTACTGCGACTGTCACCAACAAGAACTTCGAATAGGGCCTCATCACTCCATTGTATTGCACACCATTGTTGAGGTGTCTATTGTCTATGTTCTTTAGCCCATATATGCCGATTTTTCTTTTGCAGTGGAGTTAATAGTGGCTTTTCTTTGGCCTATAAACAAGTTGTGCAACTTTAGGGTTTTTATTTCACTTTTTTTTATAAGAAAACTTACCATGCAAGTGCTAAATCCCAGTTTGTGGGCCTCTCTATGAGTTGTGGACCTCGAAATTCTCCTTCCAACAGCGTCACTCCACAGAGCACTTAATTGTAAATAATTAGGATGCCTGTTTTTCACGATTATTCTTCGGTCGGCATTTTTGATATTACTTTTTTTCACATATCGTGGCTTAATATTAACTGAATCAGTTACGTTATACCTTCTAACAATATTTCTCACACTGTACCGCGATAAGTCTAACAAAGTTGCAATTTCTGATTTTGATTTCCCAGAATTAAAAAAAAATTAATTATCAGTAACCGAATTTTCTTACTAGTAACCTTTCCTCTACCCATTTTGAAAACCTTAACTACCCAAAACTATTTTAAACGTATCCTGACAGCTGTGATTAATAAAAACAACTGTCATGGCTTTAGTTTTTCACAGCCACCTATGCGTTGTAGGCTTATTTTGTATTGAAATGAAAATAGGTTGATGCTGCAAATTTGATTGGGGAGTGATAAAGTTGGTGTTTTCTACCATATATTATCAAAATATTCATTGTTAATATTTTAAACCTATAACACCCTGCTACATTTTTACTATTTGTGTTTGATAAGAAAACAACTAAGATTTCAATAGTTGGGCCAAAGGAAGTGGGAAGGGGCTCGTAGTATGTTCAGGGTCCCTTACTGGTAAAAAGAATAAATTTTCAGCTTGATTCGTCAACTGACTGCAAATGCTGGTTCAATAATGTAGTGGGAAGAAAAAAATGTGGTGGATTAGAAAGAACAGAAATATGAAAACAAACAGGGTCGGTTGATTAGATAACCCCTGTCAGTACAGGAGACACATAGTATAGAAGGAAATTAAATTATGCGTGTCTATACATAGTTTATTTCACGGTTTTTGGTTGGCCACAGTAAAATTACCGGCATCACTTTTATACACCCACCTTCCTCACATATACAATTTAAATTACTGATACCGAGATTGATGTTTTTAAAAAAAACTTTATTTCCAAAATCGGTACAGAGTGACTTCTAGAGAAACCTTGTCACGTAGGTACGTAAAACAAGACGGTCAAACCAAAAGTGACGAGATTTCCTAACATATGAATCTAGCATGGTATACAAGAAATATGATATGATAAAGAAAACGATGTTAACATGAGAACTAGCAAGGCGCGAGATAACATTCTTGAGCGCCGCGTCATTGCTCGTGAGAAATCCAGTGCCTACTAAGTAAATTATAATTTTATATAATGTACAGGGTGAGCATGGACATAACTTACATACACCCTCTGCCTCCGTGTCTCATCGTGTAGGCTCAGGTGTACGTCTTCTATCTGGAAAGCTTTCTCGCCAATGCGAGTATTTCTAATCTGTGCTTGCCACTGCCAACGTGACAACACACTTGGCATAGACGAACCATTTTGAGTTGACCTTTCATTGATTTTCGGAATATAAAACAGCAATACGCAATGGGCGGTGTGCAACTTTCTTATAGAGCTCCAGTTTCGCACATGCTTCAGTTAGTTGTGTTGCTTACTTAATTCGTATGACATTGATAACGCAACGGCCAAAAACCGTGAAAGGAACTATAGATATGTATGCGAGTCAACACTGTCAAGGCAAAAGTTACAACCGACCAATCTAGATATTATCTATCTGTAGACAATCTCATAATTAGTACCGAAACGGAGATTAGATCCATCATGCATTACTCTGCAAAGATGCAATCTGTATAACACGTCATCAACAACACAACAGTTTCGCTTCAGAACGTCATTACAGCAAAGCCCACAATCATTGTGACAATCACAGCATATACAATATTACACAGCAACGCATCTATCTACAAATTAACTGAGCTGAAATGAGCTGATGGAATGCTCTGTATAATGAGACCGATGCGCATTAAGCAATGTAGGGTCCAATCGAAGCTTCGGCATCAACTTGGGCCACATTTGGCCAAACATTCCGCCTTGGCCCAAAACTGACTGAAGGTACTGAATCTCAATATGTACTATATACGAGCTTTTGATCGATTTGTATTTGTTGAAACTGAATAAGTACTCTTGATATTATCTTTCAGATTTCAGTTAGTATATATAATAATAATAATAATATTTATTAACTCAATGTACAAAGATAACATACAATATGAGTAAATAAATATAAAATCAAAACAGGCCCAATAGAAGGCATCGCCTGTACATGGACCAATAATTTTAAGTTGCAACCGTAGAATGCAAATGACAAAAATTAGCTACAGTAGATTATGTATTTACCTGATGTTCGTATTTATGAGTTTATGAATTTCAGTCCTAGATATAGAATGTAGCCATTTTTTTAAATTTCTTTTGAAACAATTTCCGAAACGTAAATCTTTTAAGTCTTTAGGTATAATTTCATAAAATTTTAGCGCTAAATAGAGATATGACCGCTGCATTATAGATTTATGCGGCTGAGGAACTACTGTGCCACGAATTTTGTACCTTGTATAATGATTGTTTAATTTTTTGGTCGGTGTTTACAAATTTATGGTAGTGAGTGGTACTGGGTCTTATATCATACTTTCGAACATCTGCGTATAATTTGTCAGTGGGATAAAGTTTCGGTTTTTTAAATATCATTTTTAGAATACTTTTATGAAAAACATCTAAATTATAGATATGTGAGGAACATGCAGCTCCCCATGCTAATATACCATATGTGAGATGAGTCTCAAACAGTGCATGGTATAATGTTCGAAGATATTTTTCTGTCAATATATTCCCAAGGTATTTAATTTTGTAGGATACAGATCTAACTTTCTTTAAAATTTAATTGACATGGATGTCTCATCGTAAGTAAGGATCCAAGACCACTTCAAGGTATTTTATGTTTTGCACTCTATTAATTTGCATTTTTTGATCATTAATGTTGAAGGAGAAATTAGTGTAATTTGGCAGATGTCTAGCATAAGATCCAAATGGTAAAAAATGAAAAAAATGTGTCTTAGAATAGTTAATGCTTAATTTTCTACTGTTAATCCACCATTTTGATAAAATCATTTCCAATTACATTTTTCAGATCAGACCATTCAGTGCCTTTATATAATATTGCAGTATCATCTGCTAAACTGGTTATTTTGCCAGCACAATTAATTTGGAAAATATCATTTAAACATATATTGAATAACAGCGGACCTAAGACAGTTCCTTGTGGGACACCACACTTAATATACATTTCTTTACTAAACGATCCTGATATCTGCACAGATTGTGGGCGATTTGACAAATAATTTTCGATCAGTGAGTACGCGTTTCCTCTGAAACCAATTCTCTCCAATACTTCTAATAATAATTTGTGATTATCTGTGCCGAAAACTTTCTTTAAATCAATAAAAATGCAGATTGAAGGGATTCGGTTATCAATATTTTGATGTATTTGATTTACAATTTTAGTTATTGCGTACGATGTATCTTCCCTTCTGTAAATCCATATTGATTTTCACTTAAAATTTTGAATTTTGTGAGGTATCGAATCATACTAGTGGATAAAACTTTTTCAAAAACCTTTGCTACACTGTTTTTCTTCCTGATTTATGTATCGGCGTTATATTACCTTTTTTTAAATTCAGGGGTATATGCCAGACTCAAAGCATTTGTTGATTAGGTAAGTGAGTGGTTATGTTATGTCCTCGGCTATAATTTTCAAATGCTCGCTTTTAATACCATCGATCCCAGGACTTTTTCGATTTTTTAAGGACATAACAGTGGTGTATACTTCACATTGCTGGACTTTATCCAAAATGAAAGAGTTAAAAGACTTTTTTGGAGTCTGAGTATTGGGTACATTTGCTTGTATATTACTTGCTCAGTTTTCGCCTACGTCAGTAAAAAATTGTACAAATTCATCGCATATTTCTTGAGTATTTTTTAATATTGTTCCCGGTGTTGTATTTAACTCAGTGACACACTCTTTAAATTTTGTTTTCCCAGTAATCTCATCAATAGTTGTCCAAAGCCGCTTAGGATCATTTAAGTTATTATCCAATTTATTTAGGTAATGTTTTCGTTTGGTTTGCCTTGCCTTGGTTGTAGCAGTCGATATTATCTGTAGTTGGCGTTAGTTTCATTACATTATACAGTCTTTCTTTTTCTATTGCCGATGTTATTAATCCTTTGGTAATCCAGGCATTTCTGCTTTTCTCTTTGTGACTAATTATTACTTTATTGGTACTAATATCTATTAGTTTATTTATTTTCTCTATGGACAGTCCCGTTTCTTTGTCTATATTATTTATAGAGTATAATTGTTCCCAGGATTCTTGTTTGACATTTGATAGTAGTTTTGAATTGTCGACAAAGAATTTGTAATTTTCCTGGTTGTTATTAACGGTAGGGATGTTAGAATGTTTTTCATTTGAAGATATCAGTAAAATAGTGGAGAAGTGGTCAGTAATATCGCTTTCAACGA